CTTCCCTTCCTGCTCCTCCCCCTTTTCCTCCTCCTCCTCTCCTTCTTCCCCTTCTCCCTTTCTCATCTTCTCCCCGTCCTCCTCTTCTCTCTTCTGGACCCAAAATCTGGACTCCGCGTTCCTATGACCCCAGACTCAGGAGGGTGGGCGCCCAGCACCCTGCCGTCCTCGCGGGGCGTCTCCCCCGCAGCCCAGGTGTGGGAGCCCCCCAGCCTTCCTCCCTGGGGACCCGGCATGCAGCTGTCTCTGTCCACCTGCTATTTCTCCCCTTTTGGGCGTGCAGGCAGAATGTGGGGCAGCGGTCCCGGCCTCCCGGGGCCTCCTGGGAGTCTCTCATCTTCTTAAAACGCTCCCCGCGGGGCACCTGTCCTCCCTAGGGCGCCGCGGGTCTTCGCAGCTGCGTGGTCTGGTCCCCCCGCGGGAGGAAGTTGCCGACATGCCTGCGGCCAAACCAGGTGGCTTCGGGCCCTGCCTCCGAAGGGATGAGGACCCTTGTGCTGAAGGGGACTCGGGCTCCTGTCTCAGGGCTGGGGAGAACAGTTGGGGAGGGGTGTCTCGTCTGCGTGCGGAGGGGCTCCCGTGTGAGAGATGGAGGAGGTCCCCTGAATGTGGGGGATGGGGACACCCCCACCTGCTGCAGGGGTGAACTTCTCTGTCTGGTAGGGGTGGAGAAGTTCTGTCCATCCGGGTCCTCTGCTCGCCGTGGGGGTGGGGCCCTGTGTGTAGACTGGGGGTTCCGCGTAGTGATGGGGGTGGCGCCCACTGGGAAGGGTTTGGGCCTTTCTCCCCACATAGAGGGGTGCAGAGTATTGAGAATGGATTCCTGGACCTGTCCGTGTAAGGATGAGGACAGCCCTCTTCCTGTGGGCCTGGCCCCCTCGTGTAGGAATCAGGAGCCGTCCGTCTCTTTCCTTCCTGTTTTGATTTTTGTGCATGTGTGGTGCTGCGGGTGGTACCAGGGCCCACAGGTGCCAGCTCTCCTGCTGGGCCGCACCCCCGGCCCCCGAGTCCTTCTGTCGAGTTTGGGGACCCTATGTGAATGGGACACGTCTTTGTACAAGGGTTGGGCATTCTCCTCTGAGGAAGCTGGAGGGGGGACAGTCCCAGGACCCTTCTGGGGAGGGTGGTGGTCCTGAGGCATCGGTGGGGTGTAGTCCAGACCCTTGCTGAGGCTGGGCCCTCTTGGGCCAGGAGTCAGCATCCCGGGAGGCTGCTGTGGTCAGCGCGAGGTGTCTAGTTTCTAGCCCAAGGGAAAAGCTAATTATACCCCCGAACCCAAAAGGTCAGGGCCTGGTAGCCTGGATGGCAGGGGCACGGCCGGCCTGGAGTGGGGAAACCTGATCCCAGACTCTGGTCGGACATAAATTTATACCTAAGTTGGGGGGTTTTGGGGGATGAGAGAGGAGGCTGGGCCTGGACCCTCGGGTCTGAGGGAGGAGGCCTGGCCTAGACTCCTCTGTCCGGGAAGAGTGGGGTTTTGCGCAGGCCCTGAACTGTGAACATCTCCTGCCTCACAGCAGCCAAAAAGGTCCCCAAAGACAAAGATGTCCCCAAAGAAGCTGCCCCTAAGGAAGCTCCTGCAGAGCCCCCCAAAGGTGAGGCCGACCTGCCACGCCTCCTTGCACCTGCTGTCTCTGAACCCTCACCCACCTTGGCCGGGTCTGTCCTTCGGTCTTTCCCCTCACTCACAGTGTTAGAGGGACCAGTGCTGCCCCCAGTCCCGCTCCTGTAGCTCGCTAGTGCCCCCGGGACGGAGCGCAGCCCTGCAGCCTGGCCTTGAGTTCACAGCTTGGGCAGATGCGTCCCCAGTCCTGTCCGGCTCCCAGTGCCCAGGCTGTCCTTAGACCTCTCCCACCTGAGTGACCTCTGCCACTCTGGTCTGCACGTGGGACACTGACCCCTGAGGGGCTGGGGGAGCCTGGCCGGGGTCACACAGCCATCCAAGGGATCAGTGCTCTTCCCTGGCCAGGACACAGCGTTTCACTCCATGACCTGTGGTTTCTGAGCAGAGGGCTCCCTGGCTCTGAGTTCCTGCCCCCAGGGCTGGCTGTTACCCCGCCGGCCCACCTCTGATTCCCATTCCTGTCTGCGGCACAGAAGCCCCACCCGAGGACCAGTCCCCCACTGCCGAGGAGCCCAGTGGCGTTTTCCTGAAAAAGCCCGACTCCGTATCAGTGGAGACTGGTGAGGGGCCAGGGGAAGGCTGGGCCCGGACCCTGGGATGAGGGAGGAGGCTGCACCTGGTAAGCTGGTAGCCCGACACCCCTCATCCCGATGCAGGAAAGGATGCCGTCATAACGGCCAAGGTGAACGGCAAGGAGCTTCTGGGCAAACCCACCATCAAGTGGTTCAAGGGCAAGTGGCAGGAGGTGGACGGCAAAAGCGGGGCCCGATTCTCATTCAAGGAGGCCCATGACTCTGCCAGCAATGTGAGGGCCTGGGGAGGGGCCGTGCGTCTCGGGCAGGGTGGCGGATGGGCGGGTCCTGCTTTTGGGAGGAGCCCTTGAGTGAGCAGGGCCGTCAGGATGGCGGCTGTGCTGGGCTGGAGGGGAGGACGTGTGGGTAGGGAAGGGCACACTTCAGCAGGGCCCTGTGCATGTCCCCAAAGGTCGTGGGGGGCCCGGAACGTGGGCCCCCCAAAACCAAAGCTGTGCAGGTAGGAGAGATAGAACAGGCACTGGGCACTGAGCACCCTGCCAAGGTGGGGCCGAGGATCCGGGACAGAGTTCCAAGCGGGCTCCGGGGATGCAGTGGCTGCCACGGCCACCAGCACCCCCATCTGGTCCCCAGGTATACACCGTGGAGTTGCACATTGGGAAGGTGGTCCTGGGGGACCGAGGGGATTACCGCCTGGAGGTCAAAGCCAAGGACGCCTGCGACAGCTGTGGCTTCAGTATCGACGTGGAGGGTGTGCTGGCGGGGGCAGTGGAGGCCAGGGTTCCAGGGTCTGAGTGGGGACGATGTCCCCTCCAGCAGAGGGGGGGGTACAGATGTGGTGAGGTGGGTCCAAGTTTCAGGAGGAGAGTCCAGATTTAGGGTCGAGGTAGTCAAAAGTGGGGAGGCTGTCCGCAGGCTGCGAGCAGGAGGGGGTGCAGACCTGGGGGCGAAAGTGTTCGGACCCCTGGGTGCTCATGCAAGGGTGGAAGAGGCTGGGGACCCCAGCTTTGGAAACCAGGACAGACTTGGGGACTGAGACTGTCCGGGTGCTTGGATGAGGGATGTACAGTTTCGGTGAGGGTGTTCGAGATGGGCCCGCAGATCTGGGGTGTGTGGGGGCTTCAGTATGAAGGGCACGGGATGAGGTAGCTGGGCTGAGGGGGAGATGCTGGCGGGGGAGGCAGACGTGGCAGGCAGGTGAAGGAGGTGGAGGTAGAAGGTCCGTGAGGCAGAGGGGAGCGCCTGCAAGAGCGGGTACAGGCCAGGCCTCACCCCGGCTCACCTTCCCTCCCCACCCCGTCCCCAGCGCCCCGTCAGGATGCCTCTGGGCAGAACCTGGAAGCTTTCAAGCGCACGTAAGTGACTTTGGGCCCTGGGACGGAGGGTTTCCTGGGCGCAAGGATCACGAGTGTCTTGTCCTCAGTGGCAGAGATGTGTGCAAGGCAGGGACAGGGACTGGGGTGCATCTCCGTGGGACTCACACTCCCTCTCCATGGCCGCAGGGGCGAAGGGAAGGCAGAAGATGCTGGGGAGCTGGATTTCAGTGGCCTGTTGAAGAAGAGGCGAGCGCACAGGGACCCTGCTTCCCCCACACCTTCTCCGCCCGGGCAGACCCTGCCCTCCAGCCATCCAGCCACCTGTTCGTCACGCTCCCAGGGACCCTGGCCCCGCCTCTCCCAGACACTTGTCTGCCCTCCGGCTCCCTGCTGCTCCCCCGACCCAGCATTTTCGTCTGCACTGTCACGTTCGCTCCAGCTCCCCGCCATCACCTGTTCCTCCAACCGAGCATCCACGGACCCTCTTGTCCGCCCACCCACCTATCCGTCCAGCCACGCAGGGACCTGCACATCTGCCCACTTACCGCCGTCCACTCCTCCGTCCGTCCGTCCGTCTGTCCACCCTCCCACCTGCCTGCCCACGTGCCAGTCCCCACACCCTCACACCCATGTCATGTTCCCGCCAACCTGCTACCTGTCCATCCGTTACACTCGACCACTTATCGCTCTACCCTCTCCCACCCTCCGCCCGTCCACTTCGCCCAGCGAGGCCCCCGCGTAGCTGCCCTCCCTCGCGCCCTTCCACACCCTCCCTCTCCAGGTGCGTCTCTCCCTGAGCTCTGCCTCCTTCCCCCCAAGCAGGGAGCTTTCTGTTAAACTGACATTGACGTTGCGCAGGTCCAGCATGAGTGGTGACAGTTTCCGCTGTACCACGATTCCTGGTCTCACCCTCATTTTCTATTTGCTCTCCCGCTCCTCCGCCCTTCACTCACCTGTCTGCCTCCGTAACTGTTTCCCTGATAACCCACTTCCTGACTGACTCACCGGTCTCCGTGCCCGCGGACCACTTACCCAGACTCCTAGCCGTCCCCCACCTGCGTACCCATTGGCCCATCCATCTGTCCATCAGTCCATTATCGACACCCCCCCCAAGTTCACCCACTGGCTGTCCCCTCTTCCTGTCCCTCCCACCCACCCTCTGAGGCCTCTGATCACCTGGCTGAGATGGGGCAGTGTAGCCCTCCCTGTCCCTGCTGAGTTCCTTACTGCCTCGGAGGGATGGCAGGTCGTCAAGGTGGGGACGCAGGCCGAAACCATTCTGTGTGATCCGAGGGAGGACTGGGGGGCCATCTGGAGCCCAGGCAAAGGCATCTTACTGTCTCAGGGGACAGGGAACACCTCCAGAGAAGGTACTGTGGCACTGGGCTTTTCCAGATGAGCAGGAGCCCGTGGGGAAGGAGGCAGGAGAGCAGTTTGTGCCTAGTGGAAGGCAGGAAGGAGCCCGGGGGTTAAAGACAGGGCTCGCAGCACGGCTTGGAAGGTCTCGGGGCAGGTGTGACTCCCGAGTGCCAGGCTGAGAGGCCCAGGGCAGTGGGCAGCCCAAGCAGGGTGCTGCCCCGGGGTCAGAAGCGTCCCTCGGGAGCCCTGTGGGAGGAGAGGGGCGAAGAGAGGCCGAGAGCCTGGGGCAGAGAAGGAAAAGCAGCCCGGGTGGTCACACAGGAAGTGAGCCGAGCGGGCAGGGCAGGGACTGAGATGAGCTCCTCACTTCCTGGGGCCTTTGCTTGTCCCACCGCAGGGAGGTGGTCGAGGAGGAGAAGAAGAAGAAGAAGAAGGACGATGACGACCTGGGCATTCCCCCCGAGATCTGGGAACTCCTGAAAGGGGCCAAGAAGAGCGAGTATGAGAAGATCGCCTTCCAGTACGGCATCACCGACCTCCGGGGCATGCTCAAGAGGCTCAAGAAGGCCAAGGTGGAGGTCAAGAAGAGCGCAGGTCGGTGCCCGGCCCAGCTGGAGGCCCCGGGAGGCTCTGAGTCCCGGGTGTCCTGGAGGAGACTAGGCTCCTCGGGGAGCCAGGGCCCCCCATCTCCACCTCCTCTGTGACCCCCTCTCTCTGCAGCCTTCACCAAGAAGCTGGACCCGGCCTACCAGGTGGACAAGGGCAACAAGATCAAGTTGGTCGTCGAGATCAGCGACCCGGACCTTCCCCTCAAGTGGTTCAAGAATGGCCAGGAGATCAAGCCCAGCAGCAAGTAGGGTGCAAGGATGGTAGCTCCGATTGGCTTTGTTCAGCTGGGTATGGAGGTGACAACTGAGAATTGAGCTGGACTCCAAATAAAAAAGTGAAAAAGGCCTGGGGGTGTAGCTCAGTGCAAAGGCCCTGGGTTCAATTCCCAGTCTTGCCAAAAACCCCCCAAAAACAAAACAAAACAAAAAAAACTGGAGCTCAGGTTCTGTGTGAGAAGCGTCACTTCTGGTCATGCTCTGAGCCCAGTCTCAGTCCTTGGCCATCCTGGCAGGAAAGGAGACAGGGAAACGCGGCTGTGTGTCCCAGCCTGAAGGCAGGCAGGTGCACGTGGACAGGCAGCTGGCCTTTTGCTGTGGTTGCTTGTGTGACCGAAGTTGGGCCGCCTGTCCCCTCCCGTGTGACTCAGGGTGAGACTGGCTCCTGGGGCTGGGCGCAGAGCTGGCCTGCAGTGAGCTGGGACCTTTCCCCAGGTACGTGTTTGAGAACGTGGGCAAGAAGCGAATCCTCACCATCAACAAGTGCACCCTGGCCGACGACGCCGCGTACGAGGTGGCCATCAAGGACGAGAAGTGCTTCACCGAGCTCTTTGTCAAAGGTGAGGTGGGGACGGGAGCGCGGCACAGGGGACACTGGCGTCCTGACACTGCCGACGACCGTCCCCACCCGCAGAGCCCCCAGTCCTGATCGTCACACCCCTCGAGGACCAGCAGGTGTTCGTGGGTGACCGGGTGGAGCTGTTGGTGGAGGTGTCAGAAGAAGGCGCCCAGGTCATGTGGTGAGTGGCCTGGGTCCTGGTCTTTAGGGGCCCTCCTGGGTCACCAGGCCATTTGGCTTTGCCTGCAAAGCCTGGCCATGCTCAGGGCTGCTTTTGGGACTCTGACGCCTGCCCATTCTGGCCCCAGAGGACACTTCTGACCCCTGCTGTGTCCTTAAAAGTCTATTCATCTAGCCAACCAGCTGCCTATCCTTCAGCGCATCCACCTAGGTATCCGTTCAT